GTTGGATGGAGACTACAATAAGGTACTCGTCAAGGTATTTTATGCGGGTATACAAGGTAAATTCTCTGATCACCAATTTTCATACAGAATCACAAATAAGATTGTCAAGGTAGATGATGAAATTTAGAAAGCTTTTGAGTTGTTCCCTGTTGACACTGATGGTGTTAAAATCACTGACACTAAGCTTCCTGCAGACTATGACTTCAAACAAGCTTTGAACTCCATGTTAAAACGACCATATCCCGAGAGTTTTGTGCAAAGTAGTGCTTTTCCAAAAACTGTCACAACAGGTTAATTGGTTCCTCTAGCTCGAATTTTGCAATGGATTGTATCAAGGATAATTCTCCCCAGTGGGTTGTCCCGTATTGATCAACCTGAGGTTATGTTAGTTTGGGCTATTATAAACAAAATTAAGATTCGTTGGCCGTATTACATCACTATCCGGCTATTTGCATTGAGGTATTCCCCTAGAGGATCTGCTTTGGGGTATCCGTCGTTCATTCATGGAATTATAAGTCAAGCAAACCTTGATCTTGCTGGTATTTCACCTACACATATCCTGCCGGATTCAGAATTTACCTCCAAAACTCTCGCACTTATGGGTCATCAATGGAATCCCCAGCTTGGAAAGTACAAGTACTTTGTGAAATTAAACTCAGTTATGCTTCGAAATGAAGATGTTGAACTGGATGATGAAATGGAAGATGCTGAGGGTGATGAAGTTGGTACTGAGAATCAAAAAAGTGCCGAAGAGGAATGAAGAAAATGACGAAGGAAATGATGGCCATGAGCCTCATAGATCCTATGACGAGGTGATGCGTAAACTTGAGGAAATGCATGTCCATCATCATGAAGATATGGTATTAGCAAATGAACGAATTAACAATATTGCTGGAATAGTCAACCTTTAAAACATTCAGTTTAAGGATTATGCTAGCCTCCAAGACTGCCGATATAACACTCTTCATGTAATGATGGAAACGCAAAACACAAACCTGGCAAACTTTCAGTCGGCTTTCATGGCTCGCTTTCCTCTAAAACAACCTGTTGAACCACCACAAGACAATGAGGAACAACAACATTAGTTAATGCTTAGCACTTTATTTCTTGCTTGTTATGCTTGTATTACTATGGTTTTGTATTAAACTGTTTTACTTCCCGTACTACTTTGTTTTTTATTTTGGGCTTGTAACAATGAACATCGTATTGTATTACTTTATTAGTTATTGCATTTATTTTCGTTTGCACTTGCTTCATATTATGTTTATGTTATTTTGTGTTCTTTTTGCAAAGTTGTAAAATATTGGTCATTCTATTTTTTTGGTTCTCTTAATCCATGTCCTTGTTTCTTTTTGATGTTGTCAAAGAGGAAGAAGGAATACACAGCAGAAATATGCAATATCTCAGGGGGAGGTTGATTGGATGATTCGCAACCATTGAGACGATTCATATTTGCGGTTTTTGCCATCATCAAAAAGGGGGAGTATGTGAGGGCAAAGGTGAAAGAACTAAGTTCTAATGCTTGTCAAAAACCTATCTGTGCAAATATGCCATGCTTCAAACAGGTGCAAGTGAGAAACATCAAAAACAAGCATTTTTCTCAAAACAGACTGCATGAGCCGGCTCATGGAACCTTAGGTCGGCTCATGAGAAGACGATTTTGGCTTGGAAACATCCGGGAAGGCGCACGCCTTCTCTATGCGTCGACACATAGTTCTGGGAAAACATGAGTCGGCGCATCAGGAAAATGAGTCGGTGCATGACTAAAGGAATTTCAACCTCTCTCGCTCGGAAAGGTGCACGCCTTCTGTACACCCTGCATGAGCCGACGCATCGCTAAATTGTCTCATTTTTCTGCTATGTTACTACATCATGGGAATCACTTTTATATATATATATATATATATATATATATATATATATATATATATATATATATATATATATATATATATATATATATATATATACCTCTAGTTTCTAAAAAACAACAAGAAAAAGTGATTTATAGACACAAGAGCTCTCTTCATATTCAACCTCTCATCAACCATCAACAACTACACACAATCATTTTTGTTGATCAAGTTGTTGGGACTGTGTTGATAACGTCCTAATTGAAAGTGAAATTTCAGATTTGGGTAGAGATCTTTGTGGGTTTTTTCTTGAATAAAACCATTGGGGTTTTTTCCTCCAAAATTGGGGGTTTTTATCACAAATCTTTGCTTCATTGAATTAAGCTGAGCTAAGGGATTGGAAGACCGTCGGGTGTTCAATTGGGTAGCGGTAACCGGAGGATTGTGAAGAAGGATTTGGGGCCAATTTCTAGGATTCAAAATCATTCAAGGTAGAAGGAGATTGTTTTCAAGATTTGGCATACTTGATTCATCTAGAATCAAGGGAAGAGGAGTGCAACATATAAGATTCATCAAGTGACTTTGAATTGTGGTGATTGTATCTTCTCTTACAAACTTTGCAAAATTAATTTCATAATCCTAATTCTAGAATCTAGAATTGGGGGAAAAGTAGCCCACGCGAGGACGACAGGGTAAACTGCCTTAACAAATACTGTGTCCATTTTAGTTTTCTGCATTTTATTTCTATTTGCTTGAATTTGTGAGTTATCAGTTTTTCTCATTCATACAAAATAATTGTAGTGACAAACTAAAATTTACAAATCATATAGCATTCATTTGAATCGCTATAATCACTACAATTTGAGTATAACCAAACCTTGTGTAGTACGTACACCAAGTGTTTGGTGAATTTACAACTCACAAATTTGCTTTATCTTCTCCACAACTAATTGGTAATAACTTACACCTTGTTAAACTTGCTAAAGTGATTCATCATATTCAATTTTAGTTGTGATTCTATTCTCATCATTTTCATCAAATTGGTTCGCATATCTGATTTTTCCAATACGTAAAGTTTAGACGATCAGATTCAGGGCTGTCGCTCTCTAACAAAAACAATTTTACAAAAAGCGCAAAATTTTCAAAGGGATCTATTCAACCCCCCTTCTAGATCTGTCACATCTTCTAAAAGATCATACCTTAATCAATTGTGTAAACAGTTAATTATGGATTGATTTACGAGTTAGAAGCCTGCAAAGCAAGATTATGCAGCATAGGTTTGAGAAGTGTTCTTCATGAAAATGGCTTGAAATGCAAGAATGGGTGCTCAACTTCTTCTCTTCATTTATCCTAGCTCAAAAATGATCTCTTCAAGTTCTTAGACATTTTTGAAAGCTTGAAACATTTTCTACAACCTTCATGTTGACCATTTTGACAAAATCAAATTGGAACTAGGTTAAAATTGGTCAATAAGTTAGGTCAAAAATCTGCCTAAACTAGTTGAAAATTTCACTAAGTGTTTTATGAAAAATGTCATGACTTCATGGGCTTATATATTCAAATCTAAGAATTTTTTGGACATAAACCCTCTAAAGAAATTTTTTAGAGTTCATCAATATCTACAACTTTCATATTGAAAGTTTTCCTTGAATCATCTTGTATCTTGGTGAAAAATTGTCATGAAGTAATGAATTTATCAAGTATTAAAACACTTAGAAATTTTCTAAGTCATAGAAGTCTTGACTTTTTATTGAATTTTTAAATTTCTTGAATCTTGATGAACAAGTTTTATATTTTTAAATATCTTGATGAGTCTTGAATTTTGAAATTCAATGTTGATAAAAAAGGTCAAAGTTTGACTTTTGTGTATCAGTTGAGTTTTCATCAGTTGATCAAATCTTAACTATCAATCCAATGATCTTGAGAAATGATTTGAGCAATGAAATTAGGTTAACATGTTATGTTTGAGTCATTGATATTATACCTCAAGCCATTAGGTCATGTACTAGGTCAAAAGTCAGTGATCAGTCATTCTCAATCAAAACCCTAATTTTGACAATTTTGCCCCTTTGATGATTTGAGGGATTTTCTTGAGGAATTGTGATCAACACTTGATAAATTGATGGATGTGACTTAAAAATGTTGATATTGGCAAAAAATTATGAAGTTTGACTGTATATTTACCACAATTGACTTTTTACCTAATATAGATGATTTTTAGTCATCTGAGCAATTATTTGAGCAAATTTGTGGTGTAAGACTTAAAAATTGGTATGAGCAATATTAGAGACCTATAAAGAACCATGAAAGCCATTTGAGGCATAAAAAGTCCAATTGTCCTTGAGAAAAACAAAACCCTAATTTGGAGGCTCAGTGCTTAGGGGGTGAGCTTATCTGATCATACTTTTGGAACTTCTTGAAAATTTGAGATCTTTTGTGAGAAATGTATTGAGTATAGAGAGGGAAAATTTTGGGATACAACACAATGCAAGCGATAATAAAACTCTATGGAAGCTACTTCGCACAAGTGATCAAACAAATTAATCTTCAAGCATTCCATATTGCGAAAGTTACCTCAACATTCTATCCTAAAATCTTAGCTAAAAAATGCAACGAAAATGATTATTGAACATGAAAGCAATAATAGAAAATTCTAATAAAATTCTAAAGAGAAAGGAAAAAAAATTCTAAAATATTCTACTTTTTTTGTGTCATCTTTATTATCAATTAAGAGAGCAAAATTAAACTAGAAGAAAAAAACTGAAATAAAAAGGAAGTTAGAAGAATCAGGGGGTGCAAGGCCTGAATCATGGTGTATACTGCAAGTAAGGGCGCTAGGCCCAACATAATTAGCCCATGAAATAGTTTTTTGTACATAAACTTCAGTATTCTCTAAAAAACTGCAATGGGCTTGTGGAATTGGGTGACTCGGTTTGGTCCAGCCCAATGACACATACTGGTGGACTTGTGAAATTAGGTTTCCCGTGTTGTGACGATAGAACTTCTTCAAACGGAAGCTCTCTTATCCATCACCTCCCCATATGAACAGCGAAGGACTCAATCCATTATTTGATGGCATGTCGTGAAACAACCAATATGAGCCTCGATCATCTTCTCTGATCCACCTTGGCTTCAGTTCTCGATTTAATGCCTTCTTCGTATAACTTCATCCCCGTGAACAAACAAGCGAATCTGCCATCTACAACTTCTGATCAGCCTTCGGCACCACGCACTCCTCATCACTCTGTCTTCATGTCGATTTCTTCGAGAATCTATGCTCTCTCTACTCAACCTTCGTTTACGCTCCGAGCGTCACCGTCCAATTTGCTTCGCTATCATTCTGTTGCGATTTCTCCCCTCCGATTTGAACTCACCTCCATCCGTTTGTTTTCATGATCTCTGTTGCAGCTTTACAGGAAGAAAAAGGGCGAAATCGATCCAATAGAGAAGAATAGTTACATTTCGCTTTTAGGTTCCTCTTCTTTGTATTTCTATTTTCCTTCTTCGCATTTTTTCACACGCATTTTCGTTGTTGTTATAGGTTCGTTTTCGACACTATTATTGAAGTTCTATTGTGAATTTGATGTTGATGTGAGGAAAAAATTGTAGTGTTGATGAAGATAATTGACTGTTACGGTGAATTTAGGTTGATGCACAAAGTTTAGAATCATGGATTCAAATTGGTTGAGAAAGGTGATGAAGGTTTGTGAGGTTGAAGTAGAGCGGAGGTTCTCTAAGTTGCAGAGAGAAGGGTCAAGATTAAAGATGGAGGTGGTTGAATTTTTCGATACTGAAGGTGGTTGAAGATGCTTGAAGCGAGGTGATGAAGAAGATGAAAAATTGATGGAGAGTTGTAGATAAAGAATCGAGAGTGAGACTGAAGGTTGAAGATGATGATGGAAGGTGGAGATTCCCGAGAAGGTGAGGTTAAAAGGTGAGTCCCTGATTTTCTATCACTTTTTGTTATGAATCCATCGTCTCCCTCCTCCTTTTTTTGTTTTTTGTTATCTCTTCTGTTGTGAATCTATGAAGTTTGTTAGTTGTGTAGAAATTTGGTTAAAGGTTAGTTATGAAGTTCTGTTATAAGTTGGTTAGATGTTTGAGATGGTTAGAAAATGTTGAAAATCAATTTTTGTTTTCCGTTAGTTGTTACTATGAGTTAGAGAGGTAGAAATTCTGTTAGAGAAAACACTTAGAGGTTAGGAACTAAATTAGTTAGTTTTGTAATTCTGGTATAAGTTGTTAGTAAATTCTGTTTTGGAAGTTGGAATTCTGTTAGATGTTCAGTTTGGATCTGTTATTTATTGCTGAGCTGGAAAATTCTGTTACTGAGTTGAGAAAATTAGTTATGATATTAGTTATAGGTTGTTTAGGAGGTTAGAGGAAGTTAGTTGTGAATAGGTTGTACTATAGCTAAAACAGTTGGTAAGGGTTTAGTTGAAGAGTGGGTTCAGACAATTAAGAATGAAACAAAAGTCAGTTAGAATGAGTTCATAAGTTTGGATGAGATTTGGGCTCATTGTTTGGATGAGATTTGGGGTGAATTAAATGCACTGTTTGGAGGATAGAAAAGGGATTTTAGTAATTTGCTTTGTGAATTGTTTTTTTCTAGACTTTATTTTAGATTTTTTTATTGTCTGGCCCGATTTCGGTGAACATCTCTTCTAAACTTACTTTGTAAATGCAGGTTTAATTGGCTTGCACTTGGATTTGAACGAGCGCATGTATGCATCGTCGATGAAGTGATTTTGGGACTGTCTTGGATGACTTTCGTGTAGGGTTGTAAGTCACGGGTTTGGAAGAGACGTAAGGTTATAAAACTTGAAATGTTAATTTTGAAACTGTTAATCGAAGTTATTTGGTAGAATAGGGTTAGCTTGAGCTACAAATTAGTTATGGACCGTTGGAAGTTAGTTTCAGTTAGAGCGATTAGGAAATTCTGATTTACAACTTTGTGTTTTACTGTAGCCTTACCCTAAATTGATCTCTTATTTTTCTGGTTAATGTTTATTAATGAATGCAGCTCTGAAAATGGGGCTTGAATTGATTTGGTACAGGTTAGGATGGCACGACAAGCATGATATGCACACGACCTTCAGATGCAATGGTTTTGAAGACAAAGTGCGTTAAGATGAGGCTTTAGACAAAGTGAGGCTAAAGTGTGAAGCTTGAAGATTAGGACCATATGCTTTGGGAAATTTTGTGAAATTTGGTATCTTGTAACAATTTGGTCTGGAATGTTCTTGTAAATGGTCTTTCTTGAATAGAATTGTAGTGACCTAAATTGTAGCATGTAGTAACCAGTGTACTTAGAGTTTCGAAGAAAATTCCTTTCCTTTGAAGTATCTTGTATTAGCGGTAACTTTACTAATGAAAAACACTCATTTGTCAAAACCAAGGCGTGGATCAATTCCTTTCCATGCTTTCCACTTTAAATTGAAATTCGATTGTTTACCCAAGTTCAAGATTCTTCTTTTAGTACGTCAAATGTAATCCAATTCTAAGAAAAGCAGATTTGATGAATGGCCCTAAATAAAATGTAGGAAGCCCTTGTAAATAAAGTCTTTGTCCATGACAACTTAATTCAATTATATCCCATATTGTATAATAATTTCCAATCTAGATAATTATGTGTGCCAACTTTGAATGATGATGAACCATACATCCTAATGTTCCATAAGAAACCAAGATTTATACTTAAGGCATGTTTAGACTTAAGGCATTTGAATGAAGTTAAAGGAAGATAGCTTGTATTACAAGTAAACCAATCAACCAGAAGAAGTGTTTTGTATCACAATATATACAAACTCTAATTGGCGAGATAAGTCCACTTGTATCTTGATCTTAAAACACAAGCAATGCCTTTGAGGAAACCATGAAGATGAATATGAAACCATGGCCAAAAGTATGCCCAAGAAAACCTTTGCAATGAAACCTTATTCCTTTTGATCCTCAAATATTGAACATTATCAAACACAAATACCATGGATAAGGAAGCCATAATCCATATGTTTTGAAGACACCTTGAGATAGATGAACTTGTATCTTTAGTAAAGATGAGAAAGAAGTTCTCAAAAAGCATGAACATAAAACCCTAGGTTTATAAACCGTGATTGATGAAGAACTAGTTAAAACACAACTGAGTGAAGACGAGAGTCTAAATGCACAGATAAACCTTAATATCCTTGATCCCATGCTAAATTATTAACCAATGATGCATGACTTGAAAAATGACCTAATGGAAGTTATGTACATGAGAGAAATGAGAGATTCATAAGACAGATAAAAGTGAAAGGGTAGGTCAAATTTGGGGTATTACAGCTGCCCCTATGTAATCATATTAAACCTGAAAGTACGATTGACGCGTGCCTTTCGGACGTTTGAGGTAGAAGATGATTAAATATCAATGCCAAAAATCTGTTCTGAAAGAAGGCGTGCGTCTTTATTTATTTTTGTGATATTTGCTGAGGGAAGAATTCTGGTGTTTTTGGTGAGAGAAATTTAAGGGTAGCTTTTAACATAGTGGAGATGATAATACACGAAAAGGTAATTACTTTTAATGTGGTGTGATGCCAATACAAGACAAAGGTTGGACTTGTAACTTAGCGTGGTGCCAATACAAGGAAGAGATAGACTTGTAATGTAGCGTGATGCCAATACAAGGAAGAGATCAGACTCGTTACATAGTGTGATTCCAATATAAGACAAAGATCGGACTTGTAACGTAGCATCATGCCAATACAAGGAAGGGATCGGACTTGTAACATAGTGTGATGCCAATACAAGATAAAGGTAGACTTGTAATGTAGCATGATGCCAATACAAGGAAGGGATCATACTTTTAACTTAGCATGATTCCAACACAAGGAAGAGATCGGACTTGTAACATGACGTGATGCCATTACAAGGAAGAGATTGGACTTGTAACATGGTGTGATGCCAATACAAGGAAGAGATAGACTTATAATGTAGCATGATGCCAATACAAGACAAATATTGGACTTGTAACGTAGCATGATGCCAATACAAGGCAAAGGTATGCTTGTAACATAGCATGATGCCAATACAAGGAAGAGATCAAACTTGTAACGTGGCGTGATGCCAATACAAGACAAATATTGGACTTATAACATAGTATGATGCCAATACAAGACAAAGGATAACACAAACGAGTGTTTGAATCAATACGGACGAGTATCAGAAGAAGATACAAACGAGTATCAGGAAAGGTTTAACACGGACGAGTGTTTATATTAATATGGACGAGTATCAAAATAAGATACAAACGGGTATCAAATAAAGGTTTAACACAGACGAGTGTTCAAATCAATACAGACGAGTATCATAAGAAGATAGGGACGAGTATCAAGAAAGGTTTAACATAGACGAGTGTTTGAATCAATACGAATGAGTATCAAAGAAAGGTTTAACATGGACGAGTGTTTGAATCAGTACGGACGAGTATTGGAAGAAGATACGGTCAGGTATCAAGAAAGGTTTAACATGGACGAGTGTTTGAATCAATACGGACGAGTATTGAAAGAAGATACAGGCGAGTATAAAGAAAGGTTTAACATGGACGAGTGTTTGAATCAATAAGGACGAGTATCGAAAGAAGATACATACGAGTATCAAAGAAAGGTTTAATATGGAAGAGTGTTTAAATCAATATAGACGACTATCAAGAAAGGTTTAACATGGACGAGTGTTTGAATCAATACGGATGAGTATCAAAGAAAGATATAGATGGGTATCAAGGAAAATATTACAAGGACGAGTGTTTGGAGACATGACACAAATGAATGTTTAGGAAATTGACACAGATGAGTACTGGAATTTGACTTAATTGTCAGACGAGAACTGCATTTAGACTTAATCGTCAGATGGGAACCGACTACCAGACAGGAACCGGGATTTGAGTTAATTATCAGACGAGAACTAATAACCAGACGGGAACTGGGTTTCGAGATAATTGTCAGATGGGAACTGACTACCAGATGGGAACGAGGTGTATTAATTTTGCTGGGAATAGGTGAAGGTCATTAGTTGGGGATTTGGGAGTGATATTGTCTTTTGGGGATATATTGATGTCTTTGAATGATTCAGGTATTTCGTGTAAGGTATCAGATATGGCTTATGATTCATGTGCATGTTTGAATATCTTTTTCCGCAAAGATCTATTCTGATGGATTGGCTACGCGCCTTTGAAGATGCAATGTTATGCAGTGATAGCTATATGCAATGCAAAGAAATAGACTTTAGGGGGATAAGTGTAGGCTCATTGAGAGTTGTTGCTCATCAACGGGGATGCCAAACAAGAACTGGCGCTGGAAACCTGCAGTACCAAAGATCACTAGGGATAGTGATAAAAATTTGCATTGGGGAGCTCGAAGATT